CTCCCAACCGAGATTCGGAGGGCGTTCCAGATTTGGGTTACTTTCAAGAAAACTCTAGATTTTTGATAGCCATCTTGAGTCAATTCTGATATTCAGATCTCTTCATCTGAAGTTTTACCTTCAAAATGAGTCTAAGATTTCCAAAATCGGTTGACGTAAAAAAAAGTTATGGCTGCAAAACCAAAAAGATGATTTTTTGAGATCACCCTGTAAATAAGAGAGATAGGAAGTTGATTAGCGAAATATCTCGAGGTAATGACAACATCTTCATGCCCCTGTTGTCGAAGTTGAGGAAAATTTTTTTTTCACCATTTGAGAGCCTTTTGAATATTCCGAAATTTCGCACAGTGTCGGAAAACACTATGTAGAGATTTTATGTGAATACCCTTAGGTTTCAATGAAGTACGAGATTATAGCTGAAGGACTGGGCTATCGAACAGTGTCCAAATTCAAATTGTTCTTAACTAAAAAAAGTTATTCACATTATAACAGAAGCGACATTTTGGTGTGCGACGAAATTAGTGTTGAGTAGTTTATGTTTGTTATCACAACAAATTATCCCAGTTGGGGCAATAACTCATTTCTTCTGACGTTAATAGTGAGTGTGTTATTGCAAATTGAATATTTGATTGTGGATGAAACGGAATCTAGTTACTATTGAAAGTGATTTAGTAACGTTTGAAATATAATTCAGTTATTCTAGCAGCTTAATATTTCTATATCAATCAAAATCAAGGCCCCATTCTGAGGATAACAGTTTGTATGCCATTCTCCTTCCAATTTTCAATGGAATCGTGAACAGAAATACACCACACACCGTGAGAGCCACAGGTCACAGTCCAGCAAAAAGAGAGGGAATTATAAATATACATCGTGTACACGTGACGTCGGATGGACGTTTCTCATTGTCGCCCGTCGTGAACTGAACTGAATTGTAAATAGGTACCTAGACTTGATAACTAGTGACGCACAGATATAACGATGGTAAACTGCGAATCATTATTTTGCCAACCAAATGCCAAATGGCTCAGCGCAAAGTGCAAACAAACACAAAACAGTGATTTGAAAACACACAGAGCAGTGAACCAGCAAGAACACGACGCTCCCGGCTACACTAGACAATTATTTCATTCATTTTGTTTAAGCTCGACGACCGTGCGATCTACCCACTATCAAGATACAAGTTCAAATAATGAAACAGAAAGACAAACAGAACGACGCAGTACAACTGAAATTATTAGTTGTGGCTAAACAATTCCTGCTATGAATAATAATAAACCTTTTACGATAAATGTGTCATCAGTTGTGGCAAATAGTCAGCTGTTGTTAGTAACCCCAGAATGAGGTTTTTTAATTCCAATATGAAATTTCAACTGACTGAATAGACAACACTGTGATAATTCTGTCACAAATAGTATTTTTATTGATGACAAATAATTGGCGAAGAATAGAAAAGTAATTTGTAGGAAATAAGGATACGTTGTCATTATTAATGGAATTCCAAATATTCTTATTTATCGGTACTAAAAAAATGCCAACTAGACGTTTCAATTAACCAGTTTTTCTCAGTGCATATTGGATCTGTCATCTCGAATTTTCTAATTTTGACACAAAAACCATAATCTCTGATCCCGAAAACTCCGTTCAGATAACAATTTTGAAAAGGGTAGGTCTATAATTACAAAACTCAGACATTATTTTGGATCCGCCATCCCAAAACTCCCAATTTCGAAATCAAAATCATAATATTCGACCCCGGGAACAGATTTTGGATAGAATCGGATCATCGTTACAAAACTCGTCTGCCCTATCGGATCCGCCATTATAAACTTCCTAATTCTGACAAAGGAATTATGATCTCTCTGGCCCAGAAAACCCTCAGATACCAATGTTGAATGGAATCAGTCCATATAATTACATGACTCATTCGCCATATTGGATCTGCCATTTTGAAATTCACAATTTTGACATTGAAATCATAATCACCGACCATGAAAACTCTCAAATACAAATTTCAAATAGAGTCGCATAATCATAACTAAACTCGTCTGTCATATTGAATTCGACGTTTTGAACATTCCAATTTTGACAAAAGAATTATCATCTATGACCTTGGAGACTCCCAGATACAAATCTTGAACTGAATTGGATCTCAATTACAAAATTCCTCCGCCATATTGGATCTACCACCTTGAATTTCCAAATTTTTACGAAAGAGTTATAATCTTCGACCTCGAAAAACCTCAGATACCAATTTAAAATGAATAATCCTCACAGAACGATTCTCAGATCAACCGAAAAGATATGCACAACAATTTTTATAAAATACGGCAAAACCATCTTGAATGAGTTTGGCAACAAACACCGTGACAGGGACAGGAAAATTTCATATGAATAGCTGAGCCGTGAACGTTTTGTTTTGCCATTAACATCATATTCAGAGAATATTTTTGTTTTTTTGTTAAATATTTGTCGATACACCCTCATTATTTTATTTTATTTACAGTTGGGCTATCCATGAAAGCAGGTACCATTAGTTTTTCAAAATAATGATTATCACCATGGCTGACCCGACAAACGTTGTTTCACTATACAGGGTGGTCCGGTTTGTAATACAAGAAATTCAACAGTGTATTGTATCCATTGAAATGATGAAAGAAGTTCATATAAATATATTATACTAACTTCTGAGCGCCTTGTTCTTGATTTTTATTGAAAAGTTCGAAACGGTTTGGGATAAATCAACAAAATCTTTCATAGATACAATCTTTTCGTGCTCTATAAGATGAAAAGAAAATTATGCCACGTCATATTTTGGTGACGGCTAAATCTTGGGGTGATGGAGGAACAATTCATAAATTTTTATAAGTGCATTTCTATCTCAATGTGTAGTTCGAAATCTGAACATACAAAGGTGGAGAAGCTCACTCGTGAATTCCTGATGGGTTTCGCCCTTTTTCTGATTGAATCAGTTCAGTGATATTGCTACGGTTTCAGTTGAATAATAATATTTGATTGTAATCGAAACAAGAGTGCTATGATCACTGTTTCATTTCATAGAGCGTGAAAATTCCAGTGATCTTTCAGAAGAAAAGGATCCTTCTCATCTTGCTTTCATCTCTGGAATAGATCGGGATTGAGTATTGCCCCAACATGGAATGAATCTAGACGAAATTGTCGTATATTTCACGAAAAGTTATACATTGTGATGAAAAAATTTGTACCTATATTCAAACGTACTGATTCAAGAATTACTCACTATTTCTCAAATATATTTCTGAAACTTGTGAAGGAAGAGTTGAGCGTGTAACTTGGGTGGCAAAACCTGATAATTCAAATTATTACAATTGATTTAGTGAACTAGTAACAAAACTGAAGCTTCGATAAGGAGACCACGAGAATTTTGTTGAGAGTATAGAACCGGGAATCAGTGGTGACAGCTAAGTATTTCGCAAATTCATACCGAATAGAAAAAGTTAAAATGGTTATATACCGTCAACTTTGCCTAACAATAACGACGATGCTAGTGGTGGGGTCGAAATTTGCAACATGTTCGCAAAATATTTCAACAGTTTTAATGATGCAAATCAATCTGTAATCCTCATCAATTCATTCGTGGATAACCTAACTGACACGAAACATCCCAATGAGAAAGATATAATGGAGATTAAACAGGGATGAGATATCAAAAAAGGACGCAGGACCAGATGGTTTTTCCCTATTCTCCCTAGGTACGCACTATATTCCTCCGACATAATATGGACATTCTCTCTCGTGCGCTCCTAGAAATAGGAAAACACTTCCTTTCAAGGTGGAATGATGAATCTTGATCAATTAGAGTACGCGATATTGAAAGAAAGACAAGCAATTCCTCAAGATTCCATGGATGGTTTGATAACTGGTGTGACGAGAAGAATGAGGGGTGTCGTATCTGCTGGAGGAGGTGCAACAACATATCGACAAATAATGACAGTAACAAATGAAGTGATGATTTGTTATTTGAAGTTGGGTTTGTATAACAATGTGTTCCCTCTGAGTCAATTGAGAATATTGTGATGAATATTAATTACAATTCCTTGGTAGCATTTTCGCATATTTTCACATTCTCCACCGCGTTTCAACGTATTCATTCAAACTTGGCAGTAGAGTTGGATTCAGGAGTTGTTGAATTTTATGATATTTCGCATTTCACCTCCACTTCTGGTTTCATCAAAAATGACAACAGCTCTTGATATTCAAATGAAACACCCTGTATTTTATTCCATCATCTGAATACCATGGCTCGTCAATGTCAAAGTCGAGAATCTCAAAGTCTTGCCGCATAGGTTGAAAAACTAGGGCCTGTTCAATCGAAGATATTCGAAAAAAAAAAATAGGTAAAATATTTCAACAAACAGAGAAGTTCGCCTTACTTCAGCAGACTTACGATGTTTCACTCTCAATGTGGATTTCCAATTTCCACATCATCGGGAAAGAAAATATTATAACAAACGGCCAGGTGGCAGGAGGAGAAGAAGTTTATCCATCAATTCTACCAACTCTGACCCCAATTTGAATATATAATTATAATAATTGAAGAAACGATTTTTCATCGAAACTTTGACGCCCTGTATCTGGAAGACGAAAATCAGCTACATAGTTGAATGACACCCTGTATAACGCAGTGATAGGACTGCCATATGGAATGTGTTGGTTTCAAGTGAGTCTGTGATTTTATTTGAGGTGGACATCAATTTTTGCTTTTTCTGGCCTGAACATCATTATGATAAGACATGAAACATTCGAGAATGCATCAGTGATGAAGCAGCAACATGTTCCGGTTATACTCACCTCTAATGATAACTCATTCACATGATAATAAATCACGAAAACTTGTCCAACTATCATTGACAAGAAGCCAATATGAAATACAACATCTTTCACATTGGTTGCGCGCATCACCTGTAATTTGATTAGAAAAATCCATCAGATTCGAGAATTATCGCAAATGATACACTTACGGTCAGAAGCGATACTGTTATATGATAAGATTTGAACAAGAATTCTGTGAAGAAGTACCATTTCAAAGATTCATTGGCATTTTCAACGTATCTGAAATTGAAAAAAATTTAATTGAAAATCGAGTGATTCTCACGCAATATTTTCAGAGTTCCTTACAAATAGTTCAAGGAAAGCAAGTTTCGAACAAAAATATTTCCAGATATATTATGAACTGGTTGAAAGTTGAAACATAAAGGGTCTTTCAACAAACACTTGATCACTCCTCTACCAGAAATTGCCAGTACCCGTCAAATTTCATGCTTGGAGGAGCAATTTCCACTATTGAACCAACTTGATTTGTTCATCTTCCTACCCCAACTATTGAATTTTAAATAGAACTACCCTACCCTAGCTAGCATTCACACGTCAATTTCACGTCATATACGCGTTGTCAATTACGTCAAGATGACCAAATTATCGACATAAATGTGACGTCAATATGTCACATCGAAACGATGTCATTTAGCGACGTCGTTACAACGTCATTCAGCGACGTCGCCTACACGTCGAATAGTCACCAAGCATCAGGTCCAGGTTCCGACTTCACAAAAAAACTGTGAAATTCGGAATCACTTTCCCATGATCCTATTTCTTGATGGTTGGCAAAACAGTTCAAATGATCTAGTTATAATAGATATCTTTTATTTATTCACATAATTAAACATAGGTATTCTCCATCTGATTGAAAGTAATAAGCATGGAATCCACTATATTCCATAGTATATAGACATAAACAAAGATGACAAGTTTCAAAGGAATCTCAACCTAATAATCTCAATTATTTTTGTATCTACGATTTGAGGTATTTATAAATTACCTTCTTCAAATAACGACCTCACTACATCAAACAACTTTCAAGTTGCAGTCATAGATTTTGCTTTCTCAATTATTGACCTGTTGAAAAAGTCTTGCTGTTTGAAAGGCGGCCACCACACTTACGAGGCGTCATGGCGTCATGACTACTTTTACTGAACGGGAGCAATGCCTTTTCTCGGAATATTGTATTCCCACAAACATTTCTATTGCCTGGAATTGATGAAATAACCAACGAACTGCAATATATTTTGCTGAACCCCACTTTTCCATAGTATCCTTGTTTTCCAAAATCACGAAACATTCGATGAACTGGATCACGCATGTGCATAATCACGACAAACTATCCTTCGATCGACGATGTTCGATAGGGATAGCGGTGGCATTGTGCGAAACGAAGACACACGAAGCCACGGAGCACCGATTGACCAATCATAAGCATCTGTATGTCTTGACGTGGCGCGCCAATATAAAACATGATGGCACCTGGTATAACCGTATTTGTAAGTTTGTTTTTCATTGATATTTGTTCTACATATTTCACCACTTAGTGTTATCCATGTTGGGTGTACGTGAATCCTCTTTACTAAGGTAGGTACCTATTTCATTTTGATAAGCGTTCAATTATGAGTCCTGGATATGCAGTTCGTGGAGTAATTTCTTCGAAATGAAACAAAATGACTGGTGCAGATGTTAAGTCTGAATGACGTCGAATGACGTCTATCAGATACGTTTTCGAAACACGTCACAATGACGTAAATTATTGGTCGAATCTTGACGACGACCAATTGCCACCTATCATCCACGTCGATTCGACGAGAATTGACGTCACTCTGCTGGCTAGGACTGCCAATAAATCATTTCGAAGCTCTTTCCAATGCGAATACTCTAGTGCATTATTTTTGAAAATCTCTTATACATCGAGAATTTGCATTATTCATCTAATGAGAATATAAATCCTTCATGCCACTATAATCCACAACGAACACACAATGAGGATTTGACAATGAGAATCAGAACGATGAGATTTGAATCAATGTCTCACTCACACATGTTTCAATCAAGTGTGGGTTGCTTATAGCTGTGTGCACGTGTATATGAAAATAATTTTACAAATCTCAAATTTCGTGAAAATGATTCATTTAAAGTATTGTAACAGAGCGCTTGATGCTATTGAGCCGTAATCAGTGCATAGCTTCAAGTAATCAGCTTTTAGCTTTTGAAAGGAAATAGCCGGTAATGAACTTGAAATTCGGAATAAGTAAAAGTGATGTTACTTACTCATCAGGTTGATCAAAAATTCTCCATAATATATATTTAATACTGTTTGATGGGAAATTTTCCATAGAAATATCTTTGGTCCTGTTAGGTATTGGAAACATTATTGCTCATCATGGTGCAAACCTATTAGAATTCGTTTATAAAAATTCGTTCAAATAAATTGAGATACATTGTGGATTACATTTTGTTTTTTCTCAAGCAGCCAACATGACTGAATGCATACTGTCGTGCCGAAGTGACTGAGAGGAGCAAATATTTCGAAGTTGACATATAAAATGACTTACATGACGTGACATGTGTAATGTCACAGGAATTCTCGAAACATTTTTGACAACAATCATTATATGAACATTGTGAGAATTGGAAATGATTGGATAATCAGATCTCTAGAAAGCAATCATTTTACTGGTCTAATGTGAACCCATCCAACAATTTTCTTAGCAATCTAGATGATCCAACTGTAACTACAGTGACTAAACCAGGAGAAACTTCGTTGAGCCTTATGAGAGCTCATTTTGGTCGGTCCAGATGGAATCACCAGTTGAAGATCTATTCATCATACTATTCCAACAAAATGTTTCACTAACACAGTAGCTTCTTGAGGAGTAATGATTGTCTAATAAACTCGACTTACATTGACTCCTCTGATTTTTATATTCTTCTTACTAAACTAAAGGATTCAATAACCTGTGCAACGCTCGTATACCCTTTATTCAAGTAGTCCATCTAACCACCAGCAATAACCATCAGAATTATAGAACTTCAACCTATTTCGGATCATCAACTGAAAAATTAACTTCATTTCTACATAGACCATATGGGACACCTTGAAGGTGATATGTTCGAGTGAATTCCGTATGTTTTGTGGCCTCGAAAGTGAGAGACCTATAGTTGACGTGAGACCTCGAGACCTTAGAATTTGATCGAGTTACCTCCGTGTCTGTGTGAGACCTTGGAAGTAGGCGACCTCAAGTCATAGAGGGACTCTGACCCCGGAGAGGGGTTGACCGAGTGACCTACATCTGTGATCTTGAAAAAAAGCGACTTCGAATTGTAGAAGAACTCCGACCTTGGAGAAAAGTTGTATCGTGTGCGACATTGGAATAATATCAATGATATTCGTGGTTTCCACTGTCACCATCTGATGAAACGATGACGATAATACTTTCAATCTATACCAGGAGTGAGGAATGTTTTTCCCTAGTTTCAACGTCATCGCAACGTCAGATAATGACCTTGGAAACCGCGAATAATGATGAGATTTACTCGCTTTGATAGACTGGTAATATAGAGTGTGATACTTTTCACACATTTTTTTCACTCAACAAAGAGAAGATTATGATGGCAGTTCCTGACATTGATATCATCACCCAAGTGCCGCCATTTGATAATTTCTCAGGATTTTTCGGTCGATTCTCAGGTGCTGAAATCATCAATGATGCAGCCACCTCATCAGCAGGACAACCGTCCTCATATTCCAGTGAATATAGGAGATACCCAGTTCACAGTCTTGATTGATACTGACGCTACTCAGTCGTTTACCAGCATGGCAGTTGCCGAATGCTGCGAACGTTTTGGCGCACTGAAACGCCCACTCACAGTGGCCCAGTCCTCTCGAGCCGATGGATCCCTTGCCCAGATTACAGGAAGTTGTAAACCCTGGATGACGATAGGCACAGTGTGCCTATCCATAGAACTTTTGGTTCTCCCGAGTTTGTCTGCCGATATGGTGTTCGGCATGAACGTTCTTCGTACCCAGGGCTTTAGTATCGACCTGTCAAATGCCACGGTGTACCGGAATCAGAAGAACGTGTCAGTTCTTGGTTCCCAGGAAAGTCATATAGTAGTATCAGCACCCAAAAATACTGCAGTAACACATACTCCAGCACCATCCTGAAATTCAGCAATGCCCCACCCCTCCTGTAATCCTGATTCCCGACGAATTTCAAAAACATCCAGAAGTCCAGACACTGTTTCCCAAGCAACATCCAGTGAGTCCAGAACCTATAGAATTCAGACAAATCATAAACATCTAGTCTTCCAGAAACATCAAGAAGTCCAGATACTATTCACCAAGCAACATCCAGTAAGTCCAGAACCTATAGAAGTCCAGACAGAAGATCAACTCCACACAGCTCCAGCAATCTAGTACACATGAACCGAAATCCAGTACATCCAGATAATGGGTGGATTTCCATCAGGACCGTTAGCCTTATTCGTTTTGAGACCAAGCAAAATTCGTCTGATAGTGCATTGACGGAAAACGATTTCGGGCATTCGACTCTCAACGGGTGGAATGTCTGGCGGCACTTTTCCTTAGGAATCTGAAGTGAAGTTTGCTGCGAAAATCTCTGCAAAAATATTTGCTTCCTCCTGCGATGTTGTTTCTAATGTGCCAACGGATTTGTACATTGGTGGAAATGAACTATTAGTGAAATTTCTTCCGACCGCTTTAGAAAGGGACCAAAACGAACAGGAGCCATTGGAACAATCTATGAGTTTCGATCTTATCTTGGCATTGTATGTTTCTTTCGGAGCATCTATTGTTTGGCTGCAGTTATTTATGGCATCAACGTATTCTGCTCTAGTCGCGAGGTTAAGGTTTTTGCGCCAGCGATGGTAGGCTGTTTGTTTCAAGGCAACAGTTCTAAAACAGTTTTTGTCGAACCAGGGTTTCGAGGGTGATGATATTTTTGAAGAATGAGGTATAGACTGTTGGCCCGTGACACAGGGTTCATCGATGTTCCAAGTCGGTATGATATTTAAGGGACCCACTCACTCACCGATTTGACAATGAGAAGTGCCTCGGAGAGTCGCAACACAGTCCTTGCCCCGGCCCTGACCTCACCTTTCGGTTGGAAAAAACTTCAAAATTTTGTTTAAGAAGAAGCTCGGCAATGAAGTGCAATGATCTTATCTCACGAAAATTGGGGCGCTTGCTGGTTTGCATACGCCTA